CATCAGCAATTTCAGGGAAGTTCCAAGATATGCCAAAGGAGACCAGACATGAGCCCCAGACCTGAGGGCAGAGACCACGTGCTGGCCAGCCACCACCGAGTGGGACTGGCCTTCCCTGAGCCCAGACTCAGAAGTCTGAAAACCAGGAGATGCAGGTGCAGGTGGGGCCACTCAAGTGCCCCTGAAGACACTCTCCAAAATGTTTTCTCTCCATCCCTGTGACCCTGGGCGCTGCTCTCCTGAAGCACTGCTATCAGTGACCTGGAACCACGAGACTGCACTGGAAGCTGAGACCTCCCCTTGGCCACATCATCTCCCTCGTGCCATTGAGGGATTAAGCAAACAAGCAGCTCAGCAGGGCTGGAGTGACCATCCTTGACCATCAAGGGGACGGCATGTGTGTGTGACAGGATGCTAGCACACCAAGGGGGCCAGGATGAGTGGTTAAGACAGAACCCTCTTCAGAGCCATCATCAGACTGTGTCAGAGAAGAATGGACCACGTAGGAAGACTGTGGACTCAACCTGGCAGGCAGTCCTCCAGCTGCTCAGTGGATCCACCTGTGGATAAGTGAGTATGACCACCTGTGGTACTGCTGCTGGGTGCAGAGGTCCCCGCCTGGGAGGGGACTAAGAGCTGGGACACATTGGTGGAGCACTGTAAAAACTGTGCATGGGGAGAAAGTGCTGCGTAGGTGGCAGAGAATAGGGGGCAGGTGCCTGCCCATCCCCAGCCTTGCAGAGAACACCACCACCACAGCACTGTACGTTTCCCCTAATCCCTGCCAACAGTTATCAGTGATTAGAATGGGGATAGACCTCTGGCCCCAAGACAGCCAATACATAAGCTGGCCAGAAATCTACGGAATGGCAAGAAAGGGTGGGCTGGATCAATCCAATTCTTTCTCTTGCAGGAAAATGAACTAGAAGCAAAGAGAATTTTCCAGGCGGTAGTGGGACAGGAAGAAACGTGTCTGCAAAGCACTAGCCTCCCTAGGTAGAGGAAGAGCACGCCTACGCTGCTGGGCCCCAGACCCCCTGCACACCACCAGCCCCACCTGTGGCGAGGCCCAGCCCCAGTCC